AGTTTGTCAGCCCTAAAAGAACTGTGGTCATGCTATAAGGATGGATCACTTCAAGAAAACATCAGAAAAGTTCTGAATGACATAAAAGAAGTCAGAGAAGTGTTTAATGGACAGGAGATTGACGTGGAAGTCACCATTGACGAGGATGAATACAGGGATGCATGCTGGGACGCCGTTCTCCTGCAAATGGCGGGTAAAATGATATAATCTAACTGATTACTTGAAAATGAAGCAGCTAATGAGCGCGAACAAGCTAAACTTGTTAACATAAGGCCGAGCGACAAAAACTTTTCTACAAAAACACGAGCTAACGGGATAAGGTAAAAATCGTCTTTTTGATCATCTAGCCATAAAATTGCAGTGACTTTACCAAACTATCTTAAATTGCATGTCATGGATAAAGTCTCATTTTGTAAAATTTTGATTCTCTAATAAAGCGAACTGACGAAAATATACTAACACACAAGTACAATATAAGGCTTGTTGTTCATTTGAAATAGCTCGAAGTACGGATTTGAGTTTTGACCAGTTCAGCACAAATTATATATTAACTTATAGTCCATGAAGGTAAACTAAACTGCAGACAAAGTATAAAAAAAAAACTCTGAAACTCCTTTTGAGTTCTTTTACTGGTGTGACTGAGTGCAATCTAGCAAGACTCTATGTTTTTTCTCAGTGGTAGAACAAATTCTCAAAATGCAGCGGTGAGGTTTTCGCGTCATTTTCTGAAAGTTTTAACTCATTGTCGACGGTTCTTGATTTGTTGATTTTTGAGCTTTTTCGAACCTAACGTCTTGGTAGAATAATTGACTTCCATATAAGGTGCTGTCAATAAAACTATTTCGTAAGTTCCTACGAGCAATTTCAGGGCTATAGCTTACTATTTCAGCAACTTATAGATTTTTGACGCATAGGTCGAATTCGACCTAAATTTCAAGGGGCGGACGGGAAAGAGTTAAGCTAGATCATGCAGGCGTGGTTACAAAAAAGGCAGCTTGTAAAGATCAGGCAGWGTTGGACACAGTGCGAGGGGAATCCTGGGTTTCATTTTGATCAATCATTTTGCGCCATTTCGAGTTTGGCGGAATCTCAATGGCAGAGGTGCCGACTGCCCAGGACTCGATAAGTGTGTACAAAATTGTTTTTTTTTTTGTTGAATTTTGAAGCGTTGTTTGACAAAGGACACAAGGAATCGGTAGTACAGTTATTTATGTCACTCCCTACCCGTAACATAAATACTACCCCTTATACTGCATGGCCTGAGCTCTGTTTGCTGGGTGCGCATTCAACTGAGACAAATTGGGTTAAAATGGCTAAGAGGAAATCTCATAGCCGCTTTAATAATAAAAATGAATAAACACAAGCAATTAACATATCATACCCTAAATAGGGTAAAACAAGTCTCATGTAGCCCAGCAAAGGTGTGGGCATACAAAAATTGTGAAAACGGCCTAGTGGACAGGAGATGGGGAGGTAGTGGGTAAAAATCGTAAGATAGCTTCGTGAACTTCAAATCGCGTCGTTCTCAGCTAGCAAGTCCAAGAAGAATGGTCTTGACAGAGAAATCACGTGATAGATGGGCCCCTGAGGGGGATACCTAAAATGACCCAGTCCCCATACCCTGTCCAGGCAGAATCACTTCCGGTAAATTAAATGCTACTGATACCGGAA